TCCTGATGCAATGAATAGTGTCGGAAATTGTTATCAAAATGGAATTGGTGTTGAAAAGGATAAACATAAGGCATTCAGTTATTATCAAATATCTGCTGATATGGGTAATTCTAGCGGAATAGACAGTCTTGGAGATTGTTACAAAAAGGAATTGGAGTTGAAAAGGATGAACATAAGGCATTCATTTATTATCAAAAATCTGCTAAAATGGATAATGCTGATGGAATATACAATCTTGGATATTGTTACGAAAAAGGAATTGGAATTGAAAAGGATGAACATGAGGCATTCATTTATTATCAAAAATCTTCTAGGATGAATAATTCTAACGGATTATACAGACTTGGACTTTGCTACGAAGAGGGAATTGTAGTTAAAAAGGATGAACATGAGGCATTCATTTATTATCAAAAATCTGCTGATATGAGCAATCCTGATGCAATGAATAGTGTCGGAAATTGTTATCAAAATGGAATTGGTGTTGAAAAGGATAAACATAAGGCATTCATTTATGATCAAAAATCTGCTGATATGGGTAATTCTAACGGAATAGACAATCTTGGATATTGTTATCAAAAGGGTATTGGAGTCGAAAAGGATGAACATAAGGCATTTATTTATTATCAAAAATCTGCTAATATTGGTAATTCTAATGGGATAGACGTTCTTGGAGATTGTTATCAAAAGAGTATTGGAGCCGAAAAGGATGAACATAAGGCATTCATTTATTATCAAAAATATGATGATATAGGTAATTCTAACGGAATAGACAGTCTTGTAGATTGTTACAAAAAAGGAATTGAAGTTGAAAAGAATGATCATAAAGCAATTGCTTGTTATCAAAATTTTGTTGACATTGGTGATTCTTGTGGAATATGCAATCTTGGAGATTGTTACAAAGAGGGAATTGGAGTTGAAAAGGATGAACATAAATCATTCATTTGTTATCTAAAATCTGCTAATCTGAGTAATTCTAATGGAATATATAACCTTGGAGATTGTTATCAAAAAGGAATTGGAGTTGATAAGAATGAAAATAAAGCATTCATTTATTATCAAAAGTCTGCTAACATGGGTAATTCTGATGGATTATACAATCTTGGAAATTGTTATCAGAAAGGAATCGGAGTTGAAACGGATGAACATAAAGAATTCATGTATTATCAAAAATCTGCTAATATGAGCAATTCTATCGGAATATACCAACTTGGACTTTGTTACGAAAAAGGAATCGGGGTTGAAATGGATGAAAATGAAGCATTCATTTGTTATCAAAAATCTGCTGATATGGATAATGCTAACGCAATATATAATCTTGGGATTGTTATCAAAAAGGAATTGGAGTTGAAAAGAATAAACATAAGGCATTCATTTATTATCAACGATCTGCTGATATGAGCAATCCTAGTGCAATAAATAGTCTTGGGAATTGTTATCAGAATGGAATTGAATAAACATAAAGCATTTATTTATTATAAAAAATCTGCTGATATGGGCAGTGACAAAGGAATACGTAATTTTAAATATTATTACAACAAAGACTTAGAAAAACTCAAAATATGGTTGAAAACAGAACATGTTTTTGATCTTTTAGAAAAAAGAATCACAATATGTCCAAATTCAGTATGTCACTGTGATGAAAAATTGGAAGTAATAGAAGATTGCGAGCATTGTAAAAATAATACAAAATGTGAGGAAGAGTACATGATAATATGTGACGATTGTCTTCATGAAGTATTAGAAAGAGAATTTGTTAACTGGTCGAGTGGAAATTTGCAAATCGATGAATTTATTAGAAAAGCACAGCAATCATTACCATATAGTCGATATCCTGAATGGATCCCATATAATTGTTTCACAGAAATAAAAATTATTATTAGAGGCGAACTTGGTGCGATAATTTCTGCAAAATGGAGCCAAGGAGTTAAAAGAATACAAAATTTTAACAATGAACGCTATCACATTCGATCAGATCCCTGTGCGGTTGTACTAAAGAAGTTTATAAACCAGTCTTTACTTATAGAAACGCAGCTTCAAGACCGATCTGATTGTTGTTGTTTATACGGAATTACTCAAGATCCTTCAACATTAGAATATATACTTGTAGAACCCACGTATCTATGCGACAGTTGTCTTTCTAACTGGTCAAGTGGAAATTTACTAATTGATGAATTTATTGGAAAAGCACGGTTGTCATCATCTTATAGTCGATATCCCGAATGGATTCCATATAATTACTTCATCGAAATTAAATATATTAATAGAGGCGAACTTGGTGCGATAATTTCTGCAAAATGGAGCCAGGGTGTAAAAAAAATACAAAGGTCTAATAATAATAATAAGCGCTATTATATTCGATCAGATCCCTGTATGGTTGTTTTAAAGTTTATAAATCGATTTTCACTTATAGAAAAGCAGCTTCAAGACCGATCTGATTGTTGTTGTTTATACGGAATTACTCAAGATCCTTTAACATTAGAATATATGTTTGTAGAACCCACACATTTATGCGACAATTGTCTCCATAGAGTTTTAAAAAGCGAGTTTTCTAACTGGACCAGTGAAAGTTTACAAATTGATGGGTTTATTCAACAAGACAAATTTCATCTTATATCCAGTTCCCTGAATGGATTCCGTACGACTCACTAACTAAAATAGAATCTATTGGCATAGGCGGGTTCGGTGCTGCATATTCTGCAAGATGGGACAAGGGAATAAAATCGGTTTCCATAATAGACGGTGACAAATATTATACTCGATCTGATCCCTGTACTGTTGCATTAAAACAATTAAAAAGTGAAAAAGATTCTGTTCATATTTTATTTAAGGAGGTATATATTCTAAATAATTTAATTAATTAGCTATGTTCACAGAAATATTAAATGTATTTTATTTTAAATGCAGATTCAAGCTCAATTTAATTGCTGTCATTTATATGGCGTTACTAAAAATCCTTCGACATCACAATATATGTTCGTAATGCGTTATGCACCACAAAGTGATCTTCGACGATTCCTGCAGAAAAAGTTTGATAAACTAACTTTAGAAAATAAATTAAACATAGCACAGTCTATATGTACAGAACTTCAAAATATTCATGATAAAGGTTGGGTACACGGCGATCTTCATTGTGGAAATATTTTATTATTAAATGAAGAAGATGCTTTTATTTCAGATTTTGGACTATGTCGACCAGTGAATGAAGCACAGATGACTGAAAAGAAATTTTATGGAGTCATACCAAATATGGCACCAGAGATACTTCGTTGTCAATCACCATATTCTCAGGCAGGTGATATTTATAGTTTAGGTATTATTTTATGGGAATTAGCTTGTGGGATTCCAGCATTTTCAAACAGGGCGCATGACGCAAATCTGATAATAAATATTTGTGATGGTCTTCGACCAAAAACATGCCATTTTGTGCCTCCAACTTATAATGATATGCTAAGAAAATATTGGGATCAAAATCCTTTAGAACGACCGACTATAGCCATGGTATTGGATTTGATTCAGTTATTATGTCGGCGGATTAATGATCGGGAATTGCTTAATTCGCATAATGCAACTATAACATATAATTTGATGAAATGGAAACCAGATATTCCTATTCATCCGAATGCAGTATACAAAAGTCGCGTGATTAGTGTTAACAATGGATATAAGACTCGTCAAAGCAATATGGCAATTTCTCTTCATTATGAAATTTCTGATATATAATAAACGAAGCCATGTTATCAATGATAATTATTTTACAAATTACGATCAATTTGCTACTGATATTAAAATACATAATGATAAACTTTCAAAGTTGTCAAATATAAAATGAATGATATGCTTATTCTTTAGATAATCAACGCTACTCCTTGTATTATAGGTTTTGTTGACAACCATTGCACAAAACTTAATTGCATCTGTCATTTAATACATAGGCTTGGTGCTGAGTAAAGGGACCAAATTATTAAAGAGTTTTGCTGAAATTGATTTTTATGTTATAAATTCTTTAATGGTTTATAAAAAATACAAACTTTAAAGAGTTATACACGTACAACAAAATTTTTTAACAGCATTTTTTCAAGTAAAAAATGATCCAGGGATATTTTTTGAATTAGTTAAGCTCAAATAAAGATCTTTGAAAAAATTGGAATTTGTCCCTTTTCTCAGCACCTAACTCTTATAATATTTAAATGAATTATTGAATTAAGCCACAAAATTTATATTGTATGATGCATAAATTTACTTATGGCAAATGCTTCACTTAAAATCATTTAATATCGTTAATTTTACAGTTTAAATTAAAGTTTTTTTTTATTTTAATTAATATTAAATACACAAACAATACAGTATAACCTAATGTTGTTAGACGAAACCTAAGGGTTCCGTCATTGACGAAAGTCGAAACCTAGTTTCGTCTTTCGTCAAAAAAAAATTGAAATGACGAAATGACGAAACTGACG